CCAAACAGTTCTTGATGAATGAGCAGGAACCATATTTATGCTTTATTATCCCACCTCCTGAAACACAGATTGAGGTGAGCACCAGATTCTGGGAAACCTACCCATAGATTCCTCTCAGTGACCCCTGTTGCCACCAGAAGATTTCTGTCAGGAATCTGAAATTTGGAACTAATAAACTATAAAGTGCTAAAGTGGAAACTAAAGGTGTAAGGTAATGAGATAAAATTTAAACTAGAAAGGCCCTTGATAGTCCATATAAAAAACAGTTATGAAAGAGTTAAAATCTAAAATGAGAATGGTGCAGGAACAAGACAGAGAGAAGTATCATGACTGAGACTTTCTGGTTGATCTGAGAATGGCCCATATCCTTTTTGTCTGGTTTTCTGCAGTTCAAATATAGGTTATGTGTGGGTTTGTTGTTGTTGTTTATTTATCCTGTTTAGTGTTTGCTGAGGCTTCTGGATCTGTGGTTTGGTGTCTGTCGTTAATTCTGGATGGTTTTCAGGCATCATTTAGTTCAAACATTTCTTCTTTTCTTTCTTCTCCTTTTAGTAATCCATAATTGTGTATCTTTGGGAATTTTCCAACAATTCTTGAATGTTCTATTCCATGCTTTTATTTTTTATCTTGCATTTGTGTTTGTGAATTTCTAGGCTTACTTTAAGCTCATTGATCTTTTTCCTTGGTCATGTTGAGTCTACTGAGGAACTCATTGAAGGCTTTCTTCATTTTTGCTAGTTTTAGAAATTCCTAGCATTTCCTTTTCTTTCATGGAGTCTCCATCTCTCTGCTTACATTAACTATCAGTTGTTGCATGTTGTCTATTTTTTCATTAGATCTCTTATTAATCAGTTATTTTAAATTCCCTGTTTGATAATTCAAACATCTGTGTCATATCTGAGTCTGGCTCTGATGATTGCTTTGTCTCTTCATATTATGTATTTTCTTGCCTCTTGGCATACCTTGTAATTTCTTTATTGAAATATATACATGTTATTGGATAACAAAAACTTAAACAGCCATTTAATGTGAGGATGCATATTAGTCTGGCTAGAAGTTGAGCTGTATTTAATATTTGGGGTAGCTACAGGTACTAGAGTCTTCAAATTTCTCATGTCTTTATTTTTGTCTTTCCTCTTGACTTGAGGCTTTCCTAAGTACTCCTCTTCAGAAAGTCTGTGTATGGCAGTTCTTACAACTTAATCCACTGTTATAATAGCAAGGTTTAATGCCAGGTTTAATGGGGGAGGGTCCCATAATCTTAAAATTAAATATCAGTCTTTTAATTGGTCCTGTGTTTCTGAACTATGACTTCACAAGTTTTCTTCCAATGATACAGATTCTCCCTACTCCCACTCCATTCTCCATTCTCCATTCACTGGCTACTGAGTTTCTAATCTAGTTGCCCCAAGCCCTGACTCCTGTTGACTATGTTCCCCTGGCCCTTTTAGGTGAGAAAAAACATCAGCTGGGAATGGAGTGGAAGGAATGCCATTATCCCAGCCTGGAAAAAGCTCAATCTTTTCCCCTGGAGAGTAGGCCTATGAGGAGGCTCTGGGCTTATTACATAATTATTTCTCTTTTTCTCCTCCTGCCAGAGCCATGAGAGATTTTTTTTTTTTTAAATCTCCACTGTGACAACACTGTTCTTGGAAGTAAAGTCCGTGAAACTGTGGGGATTCCCCTAAGACTGCACTATCCAGGAGTTTCTCACTTTTGCACTAGTCTAAATTCAGCCTCCAGCAATTCTTCAAAATAATCACTTATTTTTCAAGATAATCTAACAGTTCATGGCTCCACTGATTTCCGCTCTAGATAAGCAGATCTGAGCTGTGACTGTCTGTGTGCACCTGTCTCCAGATTTCGGTGTGGTGGTTCCCTGTGGGTCCCAAAGTCCTTGATTTTCAGTTTGACCAGCGTTTTCCTGTAGTAAGGATGGTGGGAGTGGTGATTTTCAAGTTCTTTATATGTCAGAGTTTAAAATGGAAGTCCTTATTGCCTTCATTCTTAAGACTAAATTTTGATTCCTGTCCTTGGATTTTCATGAGATTCTCAGTATTTAAAATATAGCAATTTTTTTCTAGAGTTGGCTTGGGTAGATCAACCACACAATCAAAAGTCCTGTGTCTAAAATTTATTGCTTCTATGAGTCATAGCTTCTTCAACTCTAAAATCTCCTATTAATCAAGTAGACATAAAAGAAATAATACAAAAAAGATACCATGCTTTAACCATTCCTCTTGAAGCTACTGATTCTTTGTTTTCAGATGCATCTTCAATGACAGGAAGGGTAAATAGTAATTTAGTATAGGTGGATAAAAGAAAAGTATTTTACTTGTAAAACTGGATCATGGAAGGATATTTCTAATAAATAAGGGTGTTATTTATTTTT